CTGCTGCTGTGTGATTATTAGCAGTTGGTTCGTTGCCATTAAACCACTGCAGAAGAAGAAGACGTGATGAGATGAGGTAATTAAAACAGCCCCAGACTGAATGACCTGCTCACCTTCTGACCGTATTGTTCAGGTGTTTAATCAGACGTAGTGACCTCGAGCTAAACGTCACACAACAGCAAATCCAACAGAAATGTTGCCTGATTGTTAAATTAGTCTGCGACCACCAGTCAGTCTGGTCAGGTAGACGCTTGATCTGAGATGATTCCTCCATCATTGTTACACTCGTTCCACTTCTTTGAAAAATGTTCTACAAAGAAAACAACATCCAGTGTGAAACAGCTGAAATATGATCAAAAAGAAATCAATAAGATTATGAATCTGAACAGATGTCCAGTGTTTGACAGTTTTCATAATGTGTTTACAGAAGTGTTTAAATCCTTTTTACCCAATCTGGATCTGATCTTGATGCTGAGGATGCACAGAACCACGAGGTGTGAATGTGGTGGAGAAGTCAAATGAAAACAGCTGCAAGTTACAGTGGGATTTTTTTTTTTCCTCCAATTTTCACTTGAAAGCCACAGAAAAAGAACAAACCTGCACGTTTAAGGTCTGTGAACATTTGACAGCGTCACAGTGTCACTGAGTGTCTGTGCTGTTGACAGCTGCACTGCTGCACAAAGGACCATATGGCTTGTTTTATGTATTTGATATTTTGTACTGAGAGTCATACTTCACATTCCTGCTGATCATTTCAAATCACATCGCTTTTCAGTCGGCCATTTTGTTTCTGCACCTACAGATAATCCATCACAGTCAGAGGTTTTAGTGTGTTATTGTCACGTGGTGATTCGGACGTTTCCGTAGTGACACGTCAGAGTGTCGATAGCTGCTGAAAAAGTGTCAGAGAGCGATGTCAGGGACTCAAACCCACAAGACAATCAAGTAAGAAGGAACATTACAAAACATATCGAGAGTGTTCCCGTAACACACACAAACACAATGTCCCCGTCACACGGATAAACAAACACAATGTCCATGTAACACGCATAGACAGACACAATGCCCCTGTAACACAGACACAATGTCCCTGTAACACACATAGACAGACACAATGTCCCTGTAACACACATAGACAGACACAGTGTCCCCTGTCCACCCAGTAACATTGTAGAAAACGATCAAGTTTGAAAATAGTACTGTGTGTTTTACATCATGTCGAAATGTCCCTGAACGCACCACAGAGGAACATTGACTGTGACGGATTATTGTCGTTTCGGTTGTGGAAACTTCAGTTAAAATTTCAAACACGTGTTTAAACAGCAACAAATTCCCTTCATAAGAGATGAGGTGTGTGTGTGTGTGTGTGTGTGTGTGTGTGTGTGTGTGTGTGTGTGTGTGTGTGTGTTTGTGACTGTGTGTGTGAATCGTTCAGGTTGCTGTGTTTTTTTTGTCTCATGTCCTGTTGGGAAAACGTGTGAAAACATCCTGCTGCTGACGCTCATTCATTCTTAAAGGAACAGTTCAACATTTTGTTTATGTTATTTTATGTTTATGTTAATGTATAGAAGCTGGAGTCAGGATGCGATGATTAGCCTAGCGTAGCATAATGACTGAAACATTTTGTCAGGTGAGGTGTGACACAGCTTTATGTTCACTTCAGCAGCGGATTTGTAATTCAGAGTCAGAGATATGAAACTCTGACACTGACGATGTCTCACTCACATGAAAATTAACGCTAAAACAATTTTTGTACTAAAACAATCTGTTGAGCTCATTTTACAGGAGCTGTACGCCTTGGATCTGGTTTCGCAACAAAATAAGCTAAATTAGGCTGTTTATCTGGTGTGACTACAAGGTTAGCAGTAGAGCTAACAAGGCTAACCACCTCAGAATAAGGTTTTTTTTCCTGCTCTAATTATTCTAACACTGTGAATGCGATCTTACTTTAATCAATACATGAGAACATATCTAAACACTAAATAGCTGATAACTGTATGTTTCAGTGAAATCTTTCAAATGTAGATACAAATACTAAACTTGGCAAAAATCCTGCTTGGGTTTTACTCTTTTGACAAAACGTGGCAAGAAAATGTTATATTTTTTGCAATAAGTTCATCCACGATTTTCTCATGAATAATCCAGGTGTTAAATCAAACATTTTAACACCGTAGAAGGTGAAATTTAGTACAATGTGTAAAATCAAAGTATATTTAAGTAAAAATATTTCTCACAAAAAAGCTAACTAGCCCAGTGCTAGTGAGTTAGCCTAGCAAGCTAATGCTAAGACAAGTAGACTGTAGACTCTCACAGAACCTTTGGTTCATCAATCATAAGAAATGGTACAAATACATTGTGTTTTGTTCAGAATTGTTACATGTTATAAATTACAGAAATGAAGCTCTGAGTTGAGAATTTGACGTCTTCATCGTCTAAAACAAACGATCAAATTACAAAATCATTGAAATCTGTCTCGTGGGTAAAATTTTCTATTTTTTCTATCCCAGAAATGATGGCCATCTTGAAATTTCAAGTGGCTAATGGGATTTTTCAAATTAATGGCCAAATTAAAAATACCAGTTTTGGTGCTTGTATCTACATTTGTAACATTACTGCAGTTATCTGCTGAACTAACCTGGACACAGATTTGATAGCACCTATTGAACTAAAGTGATGAGACTCCTTCACGTACGTCACTGTGTTACTGCAAAGCTCCACAGGTGAGATGGCATTGCAGTGATGGCACCTTGTTTACCTATAACAACTGTAATGTGGTTCAGACGCTCAGGTTGAACTGTATAAACTTTGGTCATCCTCTTACTTCTCCTCCAGCGCCACCATCAGGTGACATTTTAATTTGTCCAGCACTTTGGTTTATGATCAGCCTCAGCTGGACTTTGTGTTTACTGCTAATTAGCTAATGCTAGCAGGCTATAATAAAGTAATGGACATGTAAACCTTACACCTGCTGAATATTAGCATGTTAGTGTCGCCATTGTGTTAGCACGCTAATGTTAGCATTTAGCTCTAAGCACCACTGTAAGTAGCTGTAGACGTCCTGTTTAATCACTGAGCTTCAGAGGGGTTGGAAGGTGTCCAGCTGTTTCTTCCTGTTTCCAGTCCTGATGCTAAGCTAAGCTAATCACGTCCTCTCCAGCTCCGTACACACACAAATATCTGCCAAAATGTTGAATTACTTTAATGCAAGGTCAAAGTTTGCTATCAGCTAGCTTGTTAGCTTCATGTGCTGTGAATTACAAATTCTAACTTGGTGACACAGAAAACATTAAAGGGTCAATTCACCCCAAATAATTTAAAATTAAAAAATACATTTAAAAAAAACATGAGTCCAGAAAGAATGTCCCTGTAAGACACACACACACACACACACACACACACACACACACACACACACACATACACATACACACACACACTGTCCCTGTAACACACTTGTACACACCCCTCTCCACCCTCCTAGTTTGTTGGTTTGTTTCTGTTGATTGGTCCATAACACTCAGCATAAGCCTTAACTGAACATATTCTAATATTCTGTAAATCAAAATGTTAAAAAGAAAAAAAAGGAAAAGACAAAACTAATGGAGAAGAAAAGGAAATGTGTAACGTAGCTGTTCAATTTTTAGTCCTTCTGTTCATTATTTTCTGCTGTTTTTTCTTAATATTTCTAATCTGATGTCTGAGCGGCGAGACGTCGCCATGAACGCATCGTGTTTGAAAAAATAAAAGAAGCTTCAGGACGGAGGAGCGGTCGTGTACAGAGTTAGCGGAGAGACTCGGACATCTCTTGTCTTTTAGAAATGTTTTTTATTGTATGTGATTAAAAGAAAAACAACAACATGGCAATTTGAAAAGCAGTTTGTGAATAAATTAAGTTTAATGAGAATTATTTTACAAAGAAAGGGGAAAACTGTCGTCCTGTCTTTATTATCATCACGTCTGTCGCACACTTTCCAATATTAAAGGACTGTTTAGATCAGGAAACGCAGCAGAAGATATTTTTAGTCACGATGTCTGAAGCTGTTTAAAAGTGAGAAGTTTTTATGAGAAAAAGTTTCATGTTACAACAAAAAAACTGAGGAAACTAGAACGACCACCTCACAGTTACCAACCAGTTGTTTTTGTATGTGTGAAGTTTTCAACCTTTGACCCTTTTTCTTCATCATTTTAACCTATCAGACATTAGTATGAAATTGTGTCATAATTACCATTTGAGTTCTTGAGCTTTCTCAGCAGCTGTTCCCGCCCTTTATTGTTTTGTCGCAGAGCGCGGCTCCTGTCGCCTAGCAACCTTGACAACAGGTAACTTTTTGTTTTAATCTCTTGGCTTTAACAGTTGTACCGATAGCTGTTGAACTGAAACACAATACTGACATTTAACAGTGTGATCCTCAGACTCTGTCACTGTGTTTGCGGACATATTATCTTCACCACCGGAGCGCAATGAATCTTGGGATATGTTGGACCCATGAAGGATCCATCAGGTGGATCATGGTCCTGGAAAAGGACAGTATTTGAATTTGAATTTGACCTCGTTACGGACCGAACAACATGATAATCACCGACCTGATGCAGCCACAAGGTTCTTTACTGTTTGAGTCTCTGAAACGAAGCGACCTGCTGCTCTAAACATCAGCACTGTGGCCGTTCAGTGACATCACAACGCCACCTTCAGCCACCGTCCCTTGAAGGATGAGGCGCCTGAACGGGGACGCAGCTCAAGAATTCAAAATGTAATCATGACACAATTTCACACTAACTAAGCTAACGTTAGCTCGAAGGTCGTAAAGGTGCGCTTGTGTGTCGGTGCAGCTCTTCATTGGAGGAGGGTTTTTCAAATCCAGCAAATAATTCTGGTGAAACTGGTGATCGGAGACGGGCTTTTCCTTCGAAAGCTGAACACCCTGACTGGTGGAAACATGAGCTGACAGAAACATCTGTCTTCATCACATGATCAAAATAAATCAAACCTGAAACATCACATGAAATAATTTGTTTATTATAAACATTTAATTGTTTAAAAATCAAAGTGCATGTAAAGAATGTCGTGTTCTCCGTCCGTCAGAGAGACAAAGACGGGAGAATAGATGAGATGGTTCACTCTGTCCACAGTTGATCAGACTCTGATCATTTATTATAAAAACATCAGCTTCATGTTCCTCCGTCCGTCACAACAGAACTACACTGGAACAAAGATAGGTGAACAGATGAGATGGTTCACGCTGTGTGTTTCCACTTCAGTTTTTCTCAGCAGGGGCGCTCTCTGAGGAGGAGGTGCTGCTCCCCTCCTGCCCCCCGCTGGAGCAGGAGGAGGAGGTGATGGCTGGGGCCGAGGTGAGGCTGATGGGGACCACCCTCTCCTTCCCATCATTCAACGCTCTCTCCCGCGGCGCTTGGATCTGCAGCCGGCCGCCCATGAGCGAGCAGGTGACGGTCTCGGGGTCGACGCCTTCCGGCAGGTCGAACTCCTGCCTGAACTCCTGACACCTGTAGGAGTAGGAACCCTTCCCGTCGTCCTTCTTCTTCTCCGTCTTGCCGCTCACCCTCAGCTTCCTGCCCACCTGTTTGACTGACAGCTCTTCCGGGGAGAACTCCGTCGTGTCCAGGCTGAGGGCGAAGTTGCTGCTGTCCCTCCCCAGGTCCTGGAAGGTAATGGGCTTGAAGACGCCCGTGGAGGACGTGGGCTGGTCGATCTCATCGAAGATCTTCTGGTGCAGCCTCTCCATGAACTCCATGTTCTGCCTCATCTCCTGCATGTGGCGGATCATCTCCTGCTCCATGTGGTAGAAAAGTGGCCGGGTCTCGGGCCACAAGCTGCGGACGGGCCAGTGCAGGTCCAGGAAAGGCCTCATGGTGACGGGGGACGGCTGGAAGACGCTGGGACACAACATCCTGACGGTGGTTTCTGGAGGTCTGGTTTCAGATCAGCAGCTTCGGTCTTGAGTCTGACTGTTTGTCTGTCTGATGTCCTTTCTCCCTGCTGTTTATATACACACACCAAGCCTGTCGGAAAGTTCCAGCAGCATTCCTGTGTGTGTGTGTGTGTGTGTGTGTGTGTGTGTGTGTGTGTGTGTGCGCTCACAGTCTAAATGCAGCCCGGCTGGTATTCTGCAGCCTGCTGCCACATGCCGACACATCTCAGCTTTGTTCTATTTCTGCTGCAGGACTCTGTCATGGTCTTTATAAAGCAGGTGAATAGACACACACATGTTCGCACTTCTATTTTTCTGAGGACACTCACTGACACCGTATCTAACCTGAACCCTAAAACCAGGTCTTAACCCACAAACGGACCAAAACGTCCTCAGTCGCAACGTATAAAACGCAAACTGGTCCTCACCAAGAAACTCATACAGATCCACACACACACACACACACACTCGTCAGTCACTTTACAGGATTAAACTACGTGGTCGTGTCGTTGTTCTTTGTTTGTTCATCTCGGACCCCTCACTGTGTGAAGGGGTTTATTCAAAGTGTAGTACCTGGCTCACCTTGATAGCAGCTCCTATAGGCCACGCAGGGTCTTTTGTATCTTAGTTGTATATTATATTATAACAGACACAATGGCAGAGAGAGAACGTGAGCGTGAGAGCATCTGTAGTTAGCATCGTGTCAGTAGCACAGCAGCATATTTCAGGACAAACCTCTTTCTTTGTTGATAAAACATGTTAGCCACTTAGAAATTGAAGATGGCTACCATTTCCAAGATGGCTGATATTTCTGGCAAGGAAATGTTTTTTTTTTTTTTGCAATAAATTCACCCACAACTTTCCCATTTGAATGATCCGGGGGTCAAATCAAACATTTAAACAAATTAGAAGGTGATATTTAGCACACTGTAAAAAAAAAAAAAGAAAACTGTGAAAAGTTTAACAGTTTACCTACATTTTACAAATTAAAAGTCCTGTTGAATTAGAAGCATAGAATCATAGCGAGGGACAGATCAAAACCTCGTAATAATAATCATTTTAATCAGTCAGTTTAGTTTTTAACTATCTAGTTAAAGAATGACTGAAAAGTGTTTATTTGCTCAGTAAAAGCTGTGGTTCATGTCTTAAATGATGTCAGCTGCCTGTCTCTGGATCCTCATCCACACTCCTCCTCCAGCTTTAGCATGTTAGCAAGTCACACTGAGCTGTTTCGGAAAATCCACTCACCGCTGATGTTTCTATTTTTTGCCTCCATGTTTTTCCAGTGAACAACCCGCTCCCCCACCCCCACCCCTACCCTTCAATCACCATCCAATCACATCTGTCCTGGATCTATCTTCAGCCAATCACATCAGTTGTCAGGAGGAGTCAGGTGCCTTTGTGTTTTCACGCATCGCTCCGTGAAGTATTGTTGCCAATATCCTGTATCTCCCGGCTACTGGTCAGTCTGAGTATCTACATTTAAATATGATGACCCGGTCCTACACTCGTGCTGGGGGATTAGCTCAAATGGTAGAGCGCTCGCTTAGCATGCGAGAGGTAGCGGGATCGATGCCCGCATCCTCCAACTACTTGTTTTGTCTGAAACGCGTTGTTGTCTTAAAGAAAATATTTAGTAGTATTTGTCTTTCGTTTAGATAATGGATAAATGGATAAATGAAACCAAAGCCTAAAAATCTCTGTTTGTGTGTTTGTGTTGTCTGGATCTGGGTGAATACTGCATTACAACTACAAGCCCTGTGTTTACTTAAATACAGAAGTATTATAATGTAGGGGAGACCGGGTCACCTGATTCAGTCTACATCTGCTCAGGTCAGTCCTTCTTCCTCAGGTGAGGAGGTCGCTCCCTGTGGCAGACCCTGACTGCTTTAGAGGAAAAAACTAATGTTGAGGTAAGAAAGTCTTTTTTTAACTTAATGTATTTTTGTAACAGCTCTGCAGATAAACTCTTTAAACTAATATCATGTTTGTTGTGAGTCTATGTAGATATTCGTCATTCTAGTTGTCAGTGCTAATGTTTTAGCTGTTAGCTGTAAATTAAGCTAGTTCATGGCTACGAGAGTCTGGGTTAATTATAACAAACACACACACACACACACACACACACGCACGCACGCACGCACGCACGCACGCACGCACACCAATTATGTTAAAAAGTAATTTAAATGTTGAATAAAAGCTCCAGCTGCTTCAATGTGAACAACTTTGACTGAGATTAAAGTCAGAATTTAAAAAAAAAAAAATCACATGTTGCCCAAATCCTCTTCCATGGCACTTTCAAAATAAAAGAAGATGCATTCCACTAAAAGCCGCTTCAAAGTAAAAGTGCTTCATAGAAATGTAAAGAACAGATAAGAACCGAACAGACACTAGAAAATACCTGAAGTACAGGACTGTAACCTCACCTTTACAACCTGCAACATTAAAGCAATGAACACATGAATACATCAATAATTATATGATCAATAATCTAGTCTACATGCTTGGGTTTATATAAAGCTTCTGGGGTTATAGTTAACGCAAGGCTCGTGAACAACTTTGACTTGTGACTGTGTGTTGTTAAATGATCTGCAGCTGCATGTCGTTAGTTTCTGGTTTTTGAGTCGATCTGCAGGAGGAGGCGGGTCCCGGGTCAGCAGTCTGACAGGAAACCACCCAAATAAGGCCTTAGGAAGTGATGACGCCGCTGGAAGATCTCCATGTGACGTAGAGCCTGAAAAAACGGATCGGAGCTGTGACGTGTCTGCGGGGTTTCCGGCCATGGCAGCTGGCTGTACTCCCTGTCTGCCGTTTACCGGCTGCGGTCCGGCTCACGGTCCACACCCACCGTCCGGACTGAGGTCTGGACTGTACCGGATCGTTCACGCTCCAGAAACCGCAGCACAAAGAGCGCAGGGAGCAGCGGCGCTTCCGCGTGCAGCCCGGGCTGCGCGCTCCCCGTTCTGACCAAATATGGGCTTCCTCCATGCCATATTTGGGAATGTACGTCACGCAGGAGTCTATATAAAGCCGGGATGTTCATTGAAGGAACCTGACAGAGCTCCGGTTCAAGTTCATCAGCATCAACACGTGAAAACACCAACCGGAAATAAACATGAGCTCTTCACTGTCCCTGATGATTCAGCAGCTTCTCTCCCGCCACTAATAACCATTTAAAACTTCTCCACCCGGGACCCCGGAGCTGTCTATCCTCCAGCATTGGCTTCCTCCGAGCATCACAGCCCCCAGCAGCAGCAGCAACGTCAGCCCGGCAAGAGCGCCTCTCCGCGGGACTCAGTAGCGGAGAGCGGCTCGGTCTCCCCGCGGGAACAGTGCGGTGCTCAGGAGCTCCAAGAGCGGCTGCGCTCCACACCTGCCTCCGCCTCTCCTTCCTCCGGAGAGATGGCAGCGACCAAAGCGGAGCTGCTCCTGTCCACCCTGCAGATCTCTGACCCGCTGGCCGGCTTCCTGCCGCCGCTGTCCCCGCTGGACGGGTACCCGAAGCTGGAGGAGCTGCAGATGCTGCTGCAGAGCGCCGCGGCCGGAGGCTCACTGATGGCCGCGTCGGCGGCGGAGGGAGCCGGACTGCTGAGCGGAGAGTCCGGGGAGTACGGAGGTGAGGAGCGGGAGAGCCGGTGGGACGGTGGTGGGGACAAATCCGTTCATTAAACATCAGAAAGTGAAATATACAGAAACTTTAATTAGTAAAATAACATCTTAAATTATCGATAAGGAAACGAGAAGATCAGCTGATTGATCTGCTCCGTCTGGATCAAAGATTTAATGATCCGGATAAAAAGAGTTTCTGCCTCAAAACTTGCAGAGTGACGGAGCAGTGACGTCACAGACTGAGAGACGTTAGTGGACTGATGAAGTCAAACTTTACAGATCAGTAGTCTATTAATGTGAAATCATGAGGTAAGATCACAGGGAACCAGGAGCTCCTCCCACAAAACACCTGAAGTTTTCTACTCTTGAGGTGTGATTTGTCCTCAGCTGAGCGAGTTCATTCATCACGTCCCAGTCTGAGGGCTGCAGTGCTGGACTAAAGTGAACACCTTAACTTCAGGTGTTTGTGTAACTGGCCTCAGAGATTTGTGTCAGATTAACTCTGATGTGACCTTTAACCTGCCGTCAGCTGAGCCGCTGCAGCCAATCGGCTCCGAGCGTGCTGTGTCAGGTGTGTCAGGTGTGGTCCAGCAGCTGTTTTCTGTTTCCTGACCTGTTCTTCTTCTTCTCTCTGTCAGACTCTTTGTCGGAGATCCCGGACCTGCAGAGTCTCCCCCGCCTCACCCCTCTGGCGTACAGTGGCCGCTTCACCTTTGAGCCATCGGCCTGTGGCGGCGGCGGCGGTGGCGGCGGCCTGTGGGCTGAGCCTCTGCTCAGCCTGTTCACGGGGTTGGTCAGCATGGCGGCTCCTCCCCCTGCGGCCTGCAGCCTCTCCTGCTCTTCATCATCAGTGACATCATCATCATCGTCACTGTCGCATCCGAGCTTCAGCTCCGCCCAGATCAGTTGTGGCTCTGACGTCACCTCAGTCTTCTCTGCCACGCCCACATACTCCACCGCCACCGCTTCCAACCTCCTCCTCCCCCTTGCGGACTCCCAGCCGGCGCCCCAGGCCTTCCAGCCTCAGGGCCCCCCTCCCGCCTACCCCACCCCCACCTCCAAGCTCGGCCTCCAGCCGCCCCCCCTGGCAGTGCCCATGATCCCGGACTACCTCCTGTCTCAGCAGCAGGACGCCGAGCTGCTTCAGGACCAGAAGCCCGTGCTGCCGCAGAGTCTGAACACGCTGCTGCAGCCTCCACTCACGCCACTCTCCACCATCAAAGCCTTCTCCTCGCAGATCCAGACCCCGCCTCAGGGCTCCGCCTACCAGCCCCCGCTCACCAAGTCAGGCCGGATCAGGAAGTCCCCCACGGGCCGACAGTGCAAGACGCCACCTAACGAGCGTCCGTATGTCTGTCCCGCCGACGGCTGCGACCGCCGCTTCTCCCGCTCCGACGAGCTGACGCGCCACGTGCGCGTGCACACGGGCCAGAAGCCGTTCCAGTGTCGCATCTGCATGCGCAGCTTCAGCCGCAGCGACCACCTGACCACGCACATCCGCACGCACACCGGAGAGAAGCCGTTCGCCTGCGCCGAGTGCGGACGCAAGTTCGCTCGCAGCGATGAGCGCAAGAGGCACGCCAAGATCCACCAGAGGCAGCGTGACCGCAGGACTGACAGGAGCTCCGCCTCCTCCTCTGCCAAGACCCCCACCTACTCCTCCCCTCCCATCTCCTCCCCCTGCTCCTCCTACTCCTCTCCCGCTCATAGCTCCTCCTCCCCTGCTGCCTCACTCCTCCCCTCCTCCTCCTCTTTCCCCTCCCTCAGCGTGCAGGCCGCCTCCCCCTGCTTCACCTCCTCCCCCTCCTCGCTGTCACACATCTACACCTCCTCACCGTCCCCCCACCTCTACTCCTCCTCCTGCTCCTCTCCGATGGGGAGTCCTCAGTCGGAGCTCCCCTCCCCCCACAGCTCCAACATCTGCTGACAGACAGGAGGTCCACCTGTGCCATGGTGACCTTTGACCTCAGACTGACTCTCCGCCTCAACATGAACATTTTCACAAAACACAGCAGACTGTTGGAGTGTGACGAGGTCAAAGGTCAGAGGTCAACGTGTCGTCTCCGTCCATCAGACAATTCTCTCTCTGCAGACGTCTTCACGTCGCCGTCGAGTCAAACATGTCGTCTGTCGGAGAAACTGCTGATTGAAGAGACGTGACTGAGTGACTGTTTATCTGTACATATGTTTACATGTAACATACATGAAGATGTACATAGTATCTACCTACTGAGTAGGTTCTGGGACGTTTGTATGTTTACATCCAGGTCAGTTTGATTTTATACTGAACGTGTTTTGAAGCTGCAAGAATAAAATGTCAGAATCAGTCGGTGCTTTTTATTTCAGACGTTCAGAAGAAGACGAGGAGAAAACTTTTATTTTAATCGGAGATTAAAGTCAGAGTTCTGAAAAAAAAAGATATAAAGTTTTGACGTGGCCCTGATCCTCTCCGTACAGACGTCTGGAAATCCATGTTTTAATGAGTGTCTACAGATTCTCATGTTTCTGATCCAAAGGTTTTATAACTTCAAATGTTTGACGTCGTCAAAGCAGAAAAAACAGCTGACCAATGAAAAGAGAGAAAATTCATTTTAAGTTAGAGATAATGATTCGAGTTTTAAAGTAAAAATGAAACATCAGAGTTCAAAGTTACAATCTGCAGATTATAGAACACACACACACACACACACACACACACACAGTGTCTGTACTCTGGCATTTATGTCAGCACTAAATCCTCTGTACATGTTACAGTGTGTGTGTGTGTGTGTGTGTGTGTGTGTGTCAGACAGCTCTGCAAGAAAAACAATACAGCCTCAGCCCAAATATGGTGTTTCCTGTCTCTCCAGCGGACGTCCTGATGCCTATATAAGGAGTTTCCTGCTGGCCGGCCCCTTTGGCTGGCGGAGCTCCCAGATCCTGTGTGTGTTGTGATGTAATAAGTGGACTGACAGGGACAGCAGGTTAGACTCTAGTGTGTGTGTGTGTGTGTGTCTGTGTGTGTGTGTGTGTGTGTGTGTCTGTGTGTCTGTGTGTGTGTGTGTCTGTCTGTGTGTCTGTGTGTGTGTGTGTGTGTGTGTGTGTGTCTGTGTGTGTGTGTGTGTGTGTGTGTGTGTGTGTGTGTGTGTGTGTGTGTGTGTGTGTGTGTGTCTGTGTGTGTGTGTGTGTCTGCAGTAAAAGAAGCTCCAGTCTCTCAGGTGAATGATTCAGGAACATGTGGTTCATGGAGCCTCGTCCAGGTGAGAACACGACTTCCCTCCAGTGGTGAAACAGTGTGTTCATGTTCAGATCTGATAATAAACAACAGTCCTGAGGTACTGTACTTCAGTGGGAGGTGAGACCAGATCACAGTGGACTGGACTGAGGACTACTGGCTCAGATACTGGTCAGTCAGTGGACCGTCAAAACATCCATAAAATCTTCTTTCTACAGGCTCCGTCAGTGTCGTTCATGTGGCCGTTCCCAGTGGATCAGTCCAAGACTGAATTTCTGTCCCAGTCCGACTGTGGAGCTGATACTGGTCTGGTTTACTGAGAGGAGAACCCTACGAGCTGTTATATCCCCACTGTCTTAATAGGAGGGCAGCAGATGGCGCCTCCTTGTTTCCAGGGTCTGGACTGGGTCGGGATGAAGGACTGACGCACACTCTGAGTGTTTGGCTGTAACCTGGTGAAAACAGAGTGTCTGGATCAGACTGGTCACACAGGCAGGAAGTGGAGAAGTGGACCATGGGCAGGTGACTGATGACCTTTCTGACAGAAGCTGAGTCACCGTTAGAATCCACAGGCTTCCCCCGGACACCTGGCAGCTACAGCCGGTGACAGCTCCACCCTCAGGTCTTATATTGTTGACCGCGTGTCGCTGCTGTCGACCGGAAAACGTTGAGTCAACTGTTACACATCATAACCGTCGTCAGTCGGCCCCCGCCATGTTAGCTTCTAGCTCACGGCGGTAAGAAGACATGGGTTTCCGTAGTGTAGTGGTTATCACGTTCGCCTCACACGCGAAAGGTCCCCGGTTCGAAACCGGGCGGAAACAGTGTTTTCACAGTGCTTATGTTGGTAAACAACAGTAATGTGAGTTAGTTCACTGAATCAAGCTGAAAGACGCGTTATTCATATGACAAGTAAGTACAAGTCTACGACCAAATATCTAGAAGCTGAGTTCCTGTGACATTTACATCGTTTTTTACATATTTACGTTTGTATGTTTACGTTCAGGTGCTTTGCTTTATACTGAACGTGTTTCCTCAAAGAGCTAAAAGAATAAAATATTAGAATCCAGTTGGTGCTTTTATTTCAGACATGTCTCATAATCCCTCCATGTTTTCCTAGTGAGAGTATTTTCTCATAAAAATAAAAGACCAAATCCACCGACTTTCAGATTCTCATGTTTCTAATCAAAGAGGCCTTTTTGACACGACAAATAAAACTAGAAAATCAATAAATGGAGTTACTGTCAGAATCGGATTTTACAGGATATTTCCAGAGAAGTTTCAGTGGCACAGAAAAGATGTTTCCGCCCGGTTTCGAACCGGGGACCTTTCGCGTGTTAGGCGAACGTGATAACCACTACACTACGGAAACCTGTGCCGAGTATCTCTCAAACAGATTTAAAACGCTGGGTTAGGGTTAGGGTAATGCCGTGATTTTCTGAACGTAGCTGATGCCCAAAATTTGTTGCTATACATGGTATTATTAATAATATATAGCCAGCCCAGAATCTAGAGTGCAAATACTAATACAGATCTCCTGAAAAATATAAGATATAGGTATGGAACTTCTTGTACAACAGTTTCCGTAGTGTAGTGGTTATCACGTTCGCCTCACACGCGAAAGGTCCCCGGTTCGAAACCGGGCGGAAACACATTATTTTTCTAGTTATTTACCTTTGTCAGCAATCATGGCTGAATTTGAATTTGATCTGATTGGTCCTGTAGTGCCCCTGTCCTGTCATTAGCCGCCTGCGTCTTTACAGATGAGTACACGTCACAACATCCGGCTCTTCAAACACTCGTAACTATAGTGATGCTGCGTTTTGGTCATGTGGGAGGGAAGGTAAACATGAGAAAGATTCCTATTTGTAATGGAGAATTATTCTGTTCCCCTGGGACCTGATGATGTGCATGCTTTCATCCTGTAAATGTTGGTAATGGAACTTTAGTGAACTACATATCGATTAAGAATTATTAACTGTCTGTATACGTCATCATGTAAATATTTTATATATTAAATATTTTTTAAAATGTCTTATTCAATGTGGTGCCATCACTGCAAGCAAGGCAAGCAGTGCTTGAATAAATAAGATAGTGAGGTGGACGCGATTTCTCTCATTACATCTTAGGTTTTTTTAAATTGAAAATATATAGGAACATTATACATACGAACAAGCATAAACATAGTAAATAGGTAAATAGTTAATCAGAATAAGCAGATGTATAAACAAATACACACTTTAACAACCAAAGGAAAAATTTATAAAAAAAAAAATAAAATAAAAATAAAAAAGGTATAGAAATAAATTGCCAGGGGGTATATGTAAGGTATAATGTTAAATGAAAACATAATAATTCAAGCTAGCATTATACATCTTAATTTATTTTCTCTTTGTACTAAATGGTGGATATATATTTTTCTGATTCTATAATCAAAGCAGGAAAGAATGGTTTATTATTTGAAAACTTACTTTAATGTATAATGTATAATGTGTTTCGATGATGTAAAATTCAGCCGACTCAGACACCTCCACATCTGGCTTAAAGGATACTGCCAGAGCAAAAATATCCCATACGTTGACAATTTCACCTCTTTCCACAAGAGAGCGGACCTCTTCAAACACGACCGCCTCCACCCAAATTTTGTTGGATCTCGCCTGTTAGCCCTGAACATTGAACTCACCCTGCACTCCTGCAAAGCTTTCTCTGGTTGACGGTCAGTTTATCCACACCATAAACATTCCAGTAGCACTGTCTCATCAATCCCAGTTATCACAAATGTCATGAAATGCATTTTTGATCATTCCCCGCACCAAAACTGCCCCGTCAGTCAATCTTTTTAAAAACAGGTTAAAAACTTTTCTCTTCTCAACAGCGTTTGATTGAGTGTGTGTGTGTGTGTGTGTGTGTGTGTGTGTGTGTGTGTGTGTGTGTGTGTGTGTGTGTGCTTGTCTACTTTGTGCTTTGTATTGTTTGTTATTGTTTTGTTGTATGCTGTAAAGCGCATTGTGTCTGCAGTGTGCATGAAATGCGCTCTATAAATAAAGTTTGAATTGAATTGAAAAATACAACTAATTGTCACCTTCAGTACCTGGATCATAGAAACCGAACAATACTGTACATATTCCAATTTAAGGGAAAAATTATTACAAACTCTGGATGCAATAAAAGCAGCAGTTCCTTCCAAACATCTCTGGAAAAGGTGCAAATAAATGCGTCACCATCTAAGGTCCATTGTTTTTACAAATCGTGTCAGGTAAATAAAAAAACAAACAAACAAACAAACAAAAAAAACAAATTGTGTCAGGTGCTGACTCGACGGGCATGCGCAGATGTGTGTGGAAACTAAACAGCTAGCAGCTAGTTAGCAGTGTAGCTGTGAACAGTGGGCTGTTTGTAAGTGTAAGATTTAGGAGTTGGTGAATTCAAGTTAATTCATATATTTCGGTTAATTCACTAAAGATGTGTTTGAAATGTTTACACAATTAATTATTTACATATCTGTGTGTGCACATTTAAATCATTATATTACATCTGGTGAACAGTAATGATAAATTGTTGAATCTGCTTATGTGATTCTTTAACAGTTACCTCAGTCTAAGTCGCTGTAGCTTCTGATTGGTTAGTTAAGTCACATGAATGTTTGTTACCGGAAGGTGGTTGGTTGTTGTGACGGGGGTCAGAGGTGTGATCAATAAAGTACTGCTTGAGAAAGTTATCCGTCTCCATCCTGCTGTTTCTTTACATACAGAGTCATTCTCACCACCATTTCTCGAACCCTCACGTTACATAAGTAAATAAACGCCACGACTCCTCAGGGCCGAAGTTCCCGCCTTTCCCCGGAGCTCCAGCTCCCGTCCAGACTCTGAGCCAGGAACATGAACAACACTGACTCAGGTAAAAACAGGAGTCTGTCACTGGACTGAGTTATAGCCAGTTAATGCCACATATGCTGATATTTTGTACATTTTTGTAAATACCTATTGTATGTGTTATGTTATTATTACCTATTATCTATCTTTCTCAGTATTTCTCACTGACATTTTGCAGTTTTTCTTTCTTGTTCTGTCACTTTGGTTTAGGGCGTTTAGCTAAACAATTCCCGCCTGCCGCGCGGGGGGGTTCGATTCCCCGACGGGGAGGCATCATTGATTTTACCTCGCTCATATTTACCTTCATCAAAACAATGTAAAACTTTGAAACACCCACGAAAATCTGACAGTGAATTTTTTTTTCTGTCGTTGACTTTGGACGAAATGCTGTTTCACACACTCGGACATCTGCATGGTGACAGATTTTTATTCAGCTTGTTCTCAGAAGCTTCACACACGTTATCAGCACAGGAAACAGCCACACAACAAACTACAGCAGCAGCAGCAGCTCAACACAGAGCTGCATTCAGGAACACACCACCTGCACCAAACACACTGAGCTTTATGTGTGTGTGTGTGTGTGTGTGTGTGTGTGTGTTTATTTATTTATCTTTTTTTTTTATTGGCACACATAAAACTACTGAAGAGGATTAAGGCCACATGTGAAAAACATTTTTAATTTTTTAGAATTTAAAGTAAAAATGTCAGAATTCAGACTTTTTCCATCAGAATTGTAAAAATATGAGAATTTGAAGTGGCCTCATACGTGTGACCCTAATCCTCTTCTGTATAAAACATCACAAATACATGGTATTTTGTTTTTTTTTTTAAGGGGAGAATGAGCAGGTGAGGTAAGAAACCCCTGGAGGGCTCATGTTAAACCTCAGCTCAATGTGTAAATGAAAATTACATCATACAAAATGAAAAGGAGGGAAAAAGACAGGAAACACAGCATAAATAATATAATAGCTCAATCAGCTAAAGACACAAATAAAAATACATACACCAAATCATTGTTCCCATCTGAGAGCTTATTAATGCATCTTTCAGTGTGTGTGTGTGTGTGTGTGTGTGTGTGTGTGTGTGTGTGTGTGTGCGTGTGTGTGCGTGTGAGAGAGAGAGAGAGTGAGAGAGTTGTGGTCCAGGTGTGGACGTGGCTCTCTAGTCCAGGGTGTAGATGTTCTCCTGGACCGGCCTCCTCATCCGGATCTCATAGATGATGTGAGGAGGTTCTTCAGAGGAGAGACTGGAGGAGGAACGGTAAAGGATCATTTTAGGTTTGAGATGATGCAGCGCTGAGCGAGAACTCATGTCTTCAACCAGTGTGTGTTGGACTCACCAGCCGCTCTTCAAGGCTCGTCTGTACGCTCCACCTGGAGGACAGAGTCAGGTGTGAAGGTCAGTGAGTCACAGACTGTGTGTGTGTGTGTGTGTGTGTGTGTGTGTGTGTGTGTGTGCGCACAGGACGTACGTTTGAAGGCCAGAAAGAGGAAAACTGCCGCCAAGATCAACAACACACTGAGGGAGAGCAAGAGGACGGGAACGTTGATCTGAAGGGAGAGAGAGGGTAGTGAGTCCTCCACCTGACACAGAGAGAGAGAGAGAGGTGTGAGTTTGATTTCTTCTACCTGAGAACTGGGCTGCGGGAGGTGGTGGTCTACAGGAACCAGTCTGGGTCTTACTGGGACCTGATTGTCATGACAACATGAACCCGTGAAGAAGCGACACAAGTTTAAAAACCTGCAGCAGCTCCGAGTCGCCACTCACTAACATCAGCAACATAAAGGATGAAGGTGAGTCACTGACAGTTTTATATCTTTTAACAGGAGCCTCATTAATAAATGATGATGTGTTTTACACTTTACTATAAAGTTCCTGTTACCTGTTATAAAAACTAGTAACTCCTTAGTCAGATTAATGAGCAGCAGTTCATTTTTGACATCCATGTGTTGGTTAGTTAGGGATAGGTTAGTTAGGGTTAGGTTAACCCTACACTGACCAGCAGAGGTCCCTGTTGAGCTAAAGCTTCCAGTAATGAACCACTTGTCAGTACAACTGTGATGAAGCTTCACTTCACTAGTTATTAATGATGTGTTCCACACTTTACAATAAAGCTCCAGTTATAAATGGTCGTAACTCATTAGTCGGATTAATGAGTAGTAATCATTAACTTCATCTTGCCAAATAGTGAGCCTGCATCAATGTCTGAAAACTCTGTTATAACTAGTTTATTAATGATTTATGAATAAACTGAATTAATAACCGGATTATAAACCATTTATGAGTCTTAATGTAAAGTGGTACTGTGTTATTATTTCTGATGCATTAACATGGAAAACATGTAGCCTTGGAGAACAGCCTGTTTCAAGTTCTTGTCGAGTAACTGGTGTTGTCATGGTTACTCACGGTGATGGTGTCGGAGCGCAGCAGGGTGGAGTTCCTCCTCAGGAGGTCCAGCTGAGACGACAGCAGCGTTTTCCAGTTCACTGCACAGACAACAAGACAGGAGGACCTGGTCTATGAGGGTCTGGTCCTGTGTGGACTGTGCCATAGACCGCGTTCTAGACCGCGTTCTAGACCGCGTTCTAGGCCGCGTTCTAGACCGCGTTCTAGGCCGCGTTCTAGACCGCGTTCTAGGCCGCGTTCTAGGCCGCGTTCTAGGCCGCGTTCTAGGCCGCGTTCTAGACCGCGTTCTAGGCCGCGTTCTAGGCCGCGTTCTAGACCGTGCTGTAAACCACAAAAGCCGAATTGAAAAAAGGCAGTCTGGTCTACGAGGGTCTGGTCCGCCGTAGACCGCCTTGTAGATGTATTTGTGTCAACAGCTGTTCCCGCCCTTACCGTTACATCACAAAGCGCAGCTCCTGTCACCTAGCAACCTTGATGACAGGTAACTTTTATTTTTACAGAATCATGAGGTTTCCTGGTTTTACCAGTCGAAGTGTGAACCACTGCTCAGCCTCTCAAACAGAACCTGTCACCTCTCACCTGTGGAGGGCGACGGCTCCGTCACTCGATCCGTGGTTGTGGTTGTTGGAGGAGGAGGAGGAGAACTGGTGACTGGAGCTGAGGAGGAAGAACCAGAACAACATAAAACCAGATCTTACTTTACTGAACACAACAACAACTTTCATTAGCTAAAGGAAAGATCAAGAGACGAGGATCACAGAATAAATAAAGACTGAGAGCTGAAGACATCACACACAATGAAGGGCCTGCTGCGGCCCTGTGGCCCCCAGAGGGCCCCCAAGAGCTCCTGGTGAAGACGTGAGAGATAAAGATGTTTCTGAAGATCACGTGACTTCATGAGTTTACTTCATGAACGTTAAGAGAGCTGGAGCCAGATCCTTGAACTGTGTCTGAAACTGTGAAGCGCCCGAACATTCGGACGCTTCCTCTCCTCCATGTTTGTAGAGATGAACCTCTGATTCATGGAGCTCAGAAAGAAACTGGATGACATCATGAACCTGAGACGTGTAAACCAGGAGGATGACACAGAGGAAGTGCAGTGTGGTGTCCACGCACAAACTACACTTTGACTTTCCAACAAAGAAACGTCCCCGGTCGTCTCATACAGAGGTTCTGGCCCTGGCCCGGGTCTGTTCTTAAAGAGACAGTGTCACTGTCAGACATGGAGGATAAATCCAGGTGGATGGTGTAATAGAAAAATCACATTTTGTACTTTTATGACGTGGGACATGAATCTGTCCTCACATCTGCTCCTTGGCAGTTTGACAGTTTTGATACACACATCCTGAGTCCTCTGCTCTTTCCTCTGTAAAGTGCATGTAGATTCTGTGTTGGACACCAGTCACTGATCCTTTGCAGAGTTCTTATTAACAGACACAAAGACAGCTTGGTCGTGTGTCCTCGTCAGTGCAGAGCTCGCTGCGTTTACCCTGAGCTCTTGTTGAGCGGCTGTGGAGAGACTCTGTGTTTAGAGTCTGAACCTGTGGAGGACAGAGACTCAGGACGAGGCGATGGAGGGAATCTGTTCATGTCCAGTTTCAGACAGAGCTGAGAGATTGTGAACCCGCCCTTTAACCGTGCAGGTAGTTCGTCTCACCTTTGACCACTCGCAGGTTCATGATCACCTTCTTGTCGTTGAAGATGCCGTCGATGTCCACCCTGCAGCAGTATGGCCCGCTGTCTGTCCGCCTCACGTTCAGGATGTCCAGATCCATCTGTCCGTCCAGGACGTCCCCCGTCAGCCGGTACCGGTCGGCCACCTGCAGCACCAGGGACAGGTCAGACCGTCACTTTGACTCGAAGCCAGAGCAGTGATAACGTGGCCGACAACGAGGAAGATGAGACAAAACTGACGTCATTAAACATGAACTCTGACCAAAGGCCAGACAGAGGTGATGTCAACGACCAGATGTGTAATAAAGTTACATTTGAACACGATACAAACCCCACACACACCTGTGTTGTTGGTCAAGACTGGAGCCGTCTCTCAGTACAAAGTAAGAGAAGTCCGGACTCCCGTACTTCAGAGTTCAAACTTCACAAGTTGAACTTGGACTCAGGAAGACGACTTACAGCTGGAACAGCAGCGTTCTTCCTGATATCAGCAGCTCAGCTCAGGTGACACTTCAACACACCTGTACCTGACTGAACTGTGACAATTCAATTCAACTCAAATCTCCACAGGTAGAAAAACAGAATCGACACTTAATATCCAATCTGTCGTATATAATAAAAATGTAACGTCATTTAATCTGTTCATTTTAGTTCATATTTATTCATGTTATTGAGATGGTTTCTGTCCAGACGCTCACGGAGGCGGAGCTGATGCTCAACTGTTCAAATCGTCACGTTCTTTTAGCTTCATCTCAGACTAACAGCAACAGATATTATATTTCAGCTCAGGAGTTTCACCAGATATCAAAACCCCACAGACACAGTCAACGACCGGAGTGCTGCAGAGATAACACTCTGACCGGCCGCTCGTCTCAGGAGGCTGCGAGCTGCTGATATGAGGACGGATCAGACATCTCTGAAAACGCCCGAGCAAATTTCAGTCAATCATCCATCAATCATCCATCTATCAATCATCATTTAACTATCAATCATCAATCATCCATCATTCATCCATCAGGTCAGGAGTCAGCAGGTCGATGAGGTCACTGAATGAACACTCAGTCACCTGACGTCACCTGACCTTGGAGATGACGCCGTTCTGGTCCGTCTGCACCAGGATGTTGCTGCACCAGAAGGTCCCGCAGCCGCGGCCCCAGCAGACCCGACTGAGGCCGAACCGCTTCACGGAGTACTGGCAGGACAGAGAGGCCACGCCCCCCTCCGGCACTTTGAAACAGGAAATGGATGAAAACTGTCCCACTGCGGCACAAAGACAACACAGAGGACAGAGCGTCACACATGTCGTCATGACGACACAAACAACAACACCTGGTTTACGCAGGTAAAGGCTGGAGGTCGGCGGTTCGATTCCAGGCTCCTCCAGTCCACAGTTTATACTGAAGATAGATTCACCTGATGCAGCATCAGTGTGAGAGTGTTTCCATGACAACGTGTTTAATGGTGGATAAAACATAAATACATATATTTAAGTCCAGTCTCTTTAACATGAATCACTTCCTCCAGGAAGTCTCAATAATTAACACAGATTCAACCAACCCCCTCCTTGTTTCTGTCCAATCACCAGTAAGTTTCCCTCCAGTTGAACCAATCAGACAGTTCCCTGATCTACACCTTGATGATGTCACCAAACTCACTCCCTTGTTTGTGGTGTTGAAGCATGTTGTGAAGACACGTATGACATGAACATCATTCACCAACAAACATCACAGTTAACGACCGTGTGACGTTAACGATATAAACTGTTAAAGTGATGAGGTCATCATTAAGATCAGAT